GCAGTGGAATAATGTCCTTACAGAATGTCTCCAACTTACAAGTCGACCTTAATGCACTGTTTAATTGGGCAACTATGTGGCAAATGAGGTTTAATGTTGATAAATGTAAGGTTATGCACTTAGGGGCTATGAATATGCATGCATCATACATACTAGGGGGAGTACAACTGGGGGAATCAATGGTGGAGAAGGATCTGGAGGATCTGGTAGATCATAAGCTTAATAATTGCATGCAATGCCAAGCTGCAGGTTCTAAAGTGAAGCAAAGTCATCTCTTATATTAAAAGAGAGAGATATCATATTATCCCTGTACAAATCATTAGTAAGACCTCATCTGGAATATGCAGTTCAGTTTAGGGCACCAATTCACAAAAAGAACATTGGGGTACTGGAGAAAGTGCAGAGAAGGACAACCAAACTGATAAGAGACATAGAGGAGCTCAGCTATGAGGAGAGATTAGAGGAACTGAATGTATTCTCTTTTGAGAAGAGGAGATTAAGGGGGGATATGATCATCATGTATAAATACATCAGTGGTTCATATAGTGAACTCGGTGTAGAGTTATTCACCCTTAGGCAATCACAGAGGACAAGGGGCACTTTTTACATGGAGGAAAATAAATTTAATCTTCAAATGCGGAAAGGCAGTAAGAGCTGTGAAAATGTGGAATAGACTCCCTCAAGGGTTGGTTGTGGTCAGCTCAGTGGATTGCTTTTAAAAAGGCCTGGATTCTTTCTGTGATACACATAATATAACTGGATAATAACATTTATAGGTAAAGTTGATCCAGGGAATATTTGATTGCCTCTCGGGGGAACAGGAATTAATTTTTTTCCCCTGCAGGAGCAAATTGAATCATGCTTTGCTGGGATTTTTTGTCTTCCTCTGGATCAACTGTGGGTATAGGATTATAACTTTTTTTTGGTTGAACTGGATGGACTTTTGTCTTTTTTTCAGCCAGACTAACTATGTAACCATGATGCAAAAATGTAACAAAAATGGAACTGTAACCATCTCACAGAGACGTCCAGGCCATCCACAGAAGTTAACAGAAGAATCTTCTGATAAGAAGGGTTGAAAAAAATTGCTATGCAAGTTCACTGTATTTAGCTAAAGAAGTAGAAAGCCAAACTGACTTGATTGTTTCCTGTGACACAATACGGCATACACTGCAGAGGAATGGCATGCAAGGGTGATGTCAGGAATGGACTGGCCAGCAATGGTGGGACTCACCTGCCTATTGATCTGCAGTACCAGGTCTGGCCAGCGGGTGCTCCCAGCAATCAGAGACTCAACCTTTCAGCCAGCTAACACCTGGAACTGATGATACTGGTGTATTTAAGGGATGGCCAGACTTGCAGACTCTGCCTTGGTGTTGTGTTTGTCCTGGGCCCTGTATCTGTCCTGCATCCTGTTTCTGTTCCTTTGCTGACCCTGCCTGATCTGAACCGCTGCTGACTTCTTCTGCTCTGATCCCGGCCCGCTCCTGACCATCCCTCTGCCTGACCCTCTGTACCACGCTGCTTGCTACCTGTTCTGATCCCTGGCTTGTGACCCTGACCATCCCTCTGCCTGACCCTCTGTACTACGCTGCTAGCTACCTGCTGAACCTGGCCTGTTACCCCGACCCATCTCCGCTTGCTCCCCCTGTACCTACCTGCCCTATTGATATTGACCCGGCCTGCCTGACGACGCTTGTTTGTATGTACTGTTATCTGTGGGTGGTTGGTTTGGTTTGTTTGCACTGTATTATGTTTTAGTATTGCACTGCGTTTATGTTTGTATGGTTAGTGTTAATAAATTATATTGTTTATCACATATCTGAGTCTGCGTTTCCCTGCGTCAGTCACACACCTCTGGTCACACCTGGGAGCCCTGACAGGTGATGTCCATGAAGGAAGCCTCTCCTAAAGCCCATGCACAAAAAATCCTGCCTAGAATTTGCCAGGGTCTATGATGAAAAAGAAGAAGAATACTAGATTCTGAACTCTGGCGTGATGAGACCAAGAAAAATGTTTTTGGAACTGATGCCTTCAAAACTGAATGGCATTCCAAAGGTGAGGAGTACAAAGAAAAAAGCATGGTGCCTACAGTGAAACATAGTGGTGGCGATGTCCTTCTGTGGGGCTACAGGAGCATTTCTGGTGTCAGGGAGCTGCATTTAATTGATGGTATCATGAATTCACAGATGTACTGCTCTATATTGAAAGAGAGGATGCTACCATCATTCCGTGCCCTTGGTAGTCATGCACTTTTCCAACATGACAATGATCCAAAACATACAGACCACTGTTGCATTTTTGAAGAAGAACAGTGTGAAAGTAATTCAGTGGCCAAGTATGTCTCCTGATCTGAACCCAATTGAACACCTATGGGGAATTCTGAAGAGACAAGTTGAGCATCACTCTCCATCCAGCATAGAGGCTCATTCTTGAAGAATGGAAAAATATTGATGTTGCAATATGACACCAACTTGTTCATTCCATGCCTAGAAGGCTTGGTCCTGTCCTTACAAATCATGGAGGTCATACAAAATACTAGATGTAGTAGTTTTTGTTGTGGGGTGTATTCATTTTTTCATCAACTAAATTGAGTAAAACGGAAGGTTTTGTAATCTAAGTTATATTATTAACTTTACTTTCATGTAATGAGCTAAACAAATGTTCTATAAAACTGAGTTTTGTCAAAATTTTAGAAATTATTCTTGTGTTATTTGAGATATTGATTAAAAGCATACTTTTTTATACTCATTTATGCTTAGCACTGTATCTTAATTCTGAAGTGGAGTGCCCATTTACTCACAATGTTTATATGCAAGTGTAGAGCTCTTGAACTCTTTTTCTCACAACTACCAGGGTTCACTCTGGGACAACAAGTTCCTCATCTCCCAATGCCTCCTTTGCTCAAAGAGGCCAACCCTGATGAGGCAGAGATAGCTGGGTGAGTGATCTACAGCTAGGTAAACCAGGAGAGTGGCCCCCCCCCCTCTAATAAAACCAACATGCAGGCAGCCAGTCAGCAGCCTAATAGCTCATCTTATGTCTAGTACTAAACTGACTCATGAATGTCTTACATTTATGTGCTATATAGACACTTTCACTGTGAAAAACAAGCACACAACATAGTTACATTTTTTTTTCTTACTTTCAGATTTCAAGAGACATTATCATGTAGCCCAGTCAGGGCAAAGGGATAAGGGCTTTTAAAAGAACAGCTCTACATCCACTGATACTCATCTTTGCTGTACTATCTTGCCAATGTCAACCAGGGTCAGAAGTCTAGTCTTTGTGTTAGTCACATATAGTGTCAGAGCTTACAAAGGCGCATTGACTTCCTTTCCTCACATGATAGTGTATTGGCATGGAAATTGGCTTTTCAGGCTCAAACACTTAATACTGGGAGGAAAGGGAGTGAGTCACCCCCCCCCCCCATACTCAGAAGAACCTGATGTTTCCCCAGTGTTCCTTTAAAACAAAAAACCAGTAGGAGAGTTAAAGTGGGGGGTTGGTTAGATCAAAGGCCTAATCTGAGACTATTATTGTGCTTCTTTTTTTGGTGCTCCAGATGTTTTCTCCAAACAAATCATAATTTATGTGTGAGTGTTGTAGGAAGGGTTGTGGATGATTGTTGTATGAAGGCCGATTCAAAAATCTGGATGAATATTTGTATAACTGCAAGATTACCAATCATATTCTTTGATTTATTTTAAATAGAAACTGTAATGGTTTGTGACCATTTTGAATTTGTTTTAAGTAAATATATTCATATTTAGTTGGCCAAAAAAACTACTGAGCTTTTTTTTCTGTTAATTGTATTTTTAATAAAAATAATAAAGAAGGAAAGAAAACTCCTGTAAAAGAAATGTTATACTTGTCAATTAAAAAATATTTTATACTTGCCTGCCCTGTGCAATGATTTTGCACATAGCAGCCTCGATCCTCCTCCTCTCAGGTCCCTTGCCAGCACTCCTGGCCCCATCCTCCACACACAGATCTGTGGCTTGGTCCCTTCTCCCTCTCTTCTCATTGGCACACTGGCTGAAATTTCCAGCAGCAGGAGCCAATGGCTCTCACTGCTGTCTCAGCCAGTAAGGAGGGAGAGTCCCCGGAGAGCCAAGGCTCTCATGCACATCACTGGATCGCGATGGGGCTCAGGTACGCATTGAGGGGTTGTGGGGGGGGCTTCTGCACAAATAAAGTTTTTTTTTACTTTCATGCATAGAATGCTTGAAGATAAAAAACCTTGAGCCTTTACAAACACTTTAGAGAAATCTGCACTAAGAGAAATATTTGACTACTATTACTGAATTCTCCTTATGAAAATGCCTATATCTGAGTGTTGTGGTTATTATAGACTAAAAAAAATAAATTGTAAAAAGCCACTAAACAAGGCAGAGTAACTTATTTACTGATTCTCTGACTTCCCTATATATAAAGGTGTAGGTGCCAGCCTCATAATCTAAACCAAAATGAACACGGCAGCTGTAAAATACAGCCTGCCAAAGCAGGTAATTAATCACCCAAGCAGAGTAGTTTAACCACTTGCCCTCCAGAGGATTTACCCCCCTTCCTGGCCAGGCCATTTTTTGCATTACGGAGCTGCGTTACTTTAACTGACAATTGCGCGGTCATGCAACGCTGCACCCAAATGAAATTTACGTCCCTTTTTCCCACCAATTGAGATTTCTTTCGGTGGTATTTGATTGCTTGTGCATTTTTTATTTTTTGCGCTATAAAAAAAAAGGACCAACAATTTTGAGAAAAAAACATTTTTGACTTTTTGCTATTAAACATGTTCAGTAAAAAAATTTAAAAAACAAAATTCCTTCATAAATGTAGGTCAAAATGTATTCTGCTACATTTCTTTGCTAAAAAAAATCTCAATATGTGTAAATTAATTGGTTTGCGAGAAAGTTCTAGCATTTGCAAATGGCGGTATGTATACTGGGATTTTTTATTTTTATTTTTTATTTTTACTAGTAATGGTAGCCATCAGCGACTTATAGAGGGACTGCGGCAGGCATTCGGACACTGGGGGGAACTGACCTGGTGTCACTGACATCCCCAGTGACACCAATACAGTGATCAGTGCTAAAAAAAAAAGCACTGATACTGTACTAATGGCACTGGGCAGGAAAGGGTTAACATGAGGGGCGACCAAAGGGTTAACTGTGTGCTGTGTGCTGTTTTACTATGTGCTGTGTCCTTGTACTTCACTGTAAGCACACTGCTTTTCATGGCTGTGCTGTGCACAGCCATCCAAAGCAGTGTGCACGAGCTGACAAGGAGGAGAACTGTTTTGTTTACAAACAGTTCTCCTCCCTGTCGGAGATGCTCAGCAATCATCGGGTGCCAGCAAGTAATCACCAGCCGGGACCCGGTGATTGACAGCCGCAACCGCGAATGGCAGAATGGATAGGGAGCGCGCGTACCTCGTGAGTGACCCCTTCCCGGAAATGCAAAATCACGCATATATATATATATATATATATATATATATATGTGATTTTGCGAACCCATGCCACTCTATAGCAGTATTTCTGCTAAAGGACAGTTGGGAATCGGTTAAAGTGGTTGTAAATGCAAATTTAAAAAAAAATACTTAATTAATTAATACTTTTTTATGTAAACATACATACAGCTGGTGCTGAGTTCTTGATCTTGCGAAGGCAGAGACCAGCAGAGAGAGGACACCCGCTCCCCCACCTCTTTGCAGTGTATTACATGGAGGCTCATGCTGGTCTTGTCTTTAGCACAGCTTGTCACTCACAGGAGAAGGGGAGTGACAACACCATTTTTCTGCTTGTGTCAGATTTATTCTATTAAATAAGGATCAGTTTCAATCCACATAACTTTGCCTCATTGCTGTTGCATCTATGGACTTCCATATACATATATGCCATTATGCAAGGACCTACAAATGCTTAATGGATTTTCACTCTACTTAAGGGCCTCAATGATTTAGCTTGCGTCTCAAGACACCAACACACATACTATTATTACCATTATTTTTATGTGTACACGGTTATTCATTGTAGATGCTTTCTATTGATCTGCTTGTTATTAGCCTCCTTTTTATATCTATAGCACTAGGGACACTAAAATGCCTCTAAATTTACACAAACTAACCATAAGGGGTACTACAATCAGGATTGTTTAGATTTTGTGTTTTATTGGTTGTAAACGTAGGATGGTTCACGATTGGAAGAGATCATCTTCATCTTCAATTATTAATAAAGATTTGCAAGACTCCTTCACTTAAACTACTCTGCTTGAGTGAATAATTACCTGCTTTGGCAAGCTATATCTTATGGCTACCGTGTTTTTTTTTTGGTGCTGTGGTTATTAGTCTCTTTTATCAAAGGCATCCATATAAATGTAAAACAATAAGTGCTTGTATTTTAAGTTGTTATTTAGACTCATTTGATAATAGCGATTAATGGTTCACTATAATACACTCTAGGGTTTAAGCTATTGCTGTATTTATTTATTGAAGAAATATTAGACTTGGTAGCTAAGTGTATCTTTACTACAAGTTGTGTTTAGATTTCAATTAGTCTGCACATTTTTTTCCAGGTGTTTTGCAAATAACAATATGGATTTTTGAATATTTCTTTTGACCACTTTTGCAGGACTCCAAACTATAAACAGTCAGTCCTTATTAGACAGATCTATCCAAAGTTTCAATTAGAAACAGTGGGATCTCTTCGAAAAATCTATAATGTTCTGGAATTGAACACATGTCTATTTGTAGTCAAAGCTGGTAAAGACATACAGAATGTACTGTATATGCTGTTTACATTTTATATACGGTATATAAATATATATAATCTAATGGGTTTTTTAAAAATTCATGTCTTAATTTCACAATAGCGGTACAAAGGTAAGGCACAAGGTGAAGAGGCCAGGCAGAGCAATACAATCGACCTTTCGATAAGAAAGACAAAGCAAGATCTGAACTTCAGGATATATATGTTATCAAATTTGAGTATCACCAAAGATGAAAGTGTATTAACAAAACTAGCATAGAAAAGAAAAACAAAGATTACCTAAAGAAAAAGGTTTATCTTAGATGCCACAAATGGGGGGTGGGGGTGGGGGGGGGGTACTGGATATGTGTACCTATCGGTGTGGAAGCGTGGGTAGAACCCCCCCCCCCCTCAATAACCCATACAGGTCTTGTAGTAGGGAACAGCAACAATAATATCATTGACTGAAACCTATTAATGTCAGCTAATCAAAGTCAAATAATATAATAGTACTGGTTTAACCATAAAGTCCTGGGAGACCTTGAAGTTGTAGTTTAACCATTTCAAGGGCCAATAACACTTTCCTAATATTTAGCATGGCTGATCGACCCAAATAAAACCAGATTGTGCTGGATGGATAATTGAAGGGAGTAAATCAGATAACTTAGTCACTATGATTAGGGATAGTATTTTCACATCTGTATTTATCAGAGATATCGGCCTATATGACCCAGGCAGGGTGGGGGCCTTATTCTTTTTTGCAATGTCTTTAATGTAGGCCTGGGAGCCTGTAGGGAGGTATGGGCCACTTTCCTATACTGGTAGTAGTGTATGGGGGATATAGTCATTGGTAAGTTTAAAGAACGTAGAGGAGAAGCCATCTGGGCCCAGGGCCTTATTGTTAGTTAAAGACATGATTGTTGCTAGAATTTCTGCAAAGATAATGGGGCCTTCAGTTCTTTCAACTTGTGAGAGGGTTAGTCTTGGTAAGAAAAGTTTTTGTAGGAAAGAGGAGGCTACGGACTGATCTACTGAGTCAGAAACCTAGAGACTGGTATAAAAAATGAGCAAAGATCTGATTGATTTCAGAAGGGGAAGTGGAAGTAGGGGTGTCGTAGAGCTGCTATATGAGTAGGCTGATAGGGGCCTCTACACAGCTTGGCTAGGAGCTTACCCACCTTGTTACCAAATTTATGGAAGTGAAGGGAAGAATGAAAGGTTTCAATGTGCTCTTGTACATCAGCCCACATATCGAATTGGCGTTTCGCTACGTGCCACATCGCTTTGTTTATTTGCATCTGAACGCTTGCAAGGTTTGTTTGGGCAGATTGTAGGGCTTCACTGGCTTTCAGATAATTTGCCAATGAGTTTTTCCTAAATTGGGTAACATAAGAAATGATCTTGCCGCTCAGAAAAGCTTTGCCAGCTTCCGCAAAAAGAATAGGGCTAGAAACAGTTTTAATTTGCTTTTTCAACTTATGTATATTTTAGAATATAAATGATTTTTAATACATTGTTAAACTAGAAAAAAAAACATTTAAATAAATTTGTTAAACCAGTCTGCTTTCTAAATTGGAACATACAGGTATTCACAGTGGAGTGTGCGGAAAAATAACCATTTCCCAAAGTACATATTTCTGATGTCAATAGCTAAATATTTCTTCCTAATTTAAATAAGTTATTTGCTTTGTTTTTGTAAATTATCTTTAGAAATTACTTGCACAACTTTCTTAGATAGATCAACACATTAATAAATAAAAAGATCACTGTGACACAGGGATTTGTTTTGCCAATTAGCAAAGTCTATGCAAAATTCCCAGGTGAATAAGTGTATGTGAGGAAATTACAATCACTAGTTAGGAGGCAGAAAAGTGCACGCTTTTCTAATCTGTAGCATACTTTTTTTACATTTTTCAGCCCTCATTAACCATCATTATTAAACATATGACCTGAATAAGTTAGTCTAGGTGGTGGACGTGTTGATTTGTAAATACTGATGTTGCTGCTTCTGTTTAACCTCTAGTTAATGGACAAAAAAGCTTATTAAGATGAGTAAAACAGGCATGTTAAACTCATAAGGACTCCTTCATTTGAACTATGGGTCTGAGAAATGCTACACTTTAAAAGACTCTGGGGAATGTGTTTAATTAAACAGTGAAGTTGAAGGGTATGTGGAGTGTATTTTTATCATGACTTTTTTATTTATTATGATCAGGACTTTTCAAATAAACATTTTTAAGTATTGTTTCAGGTGAATTTCAGAGTTCCCAATTCCATATCCACGGGGGTGTTTGTTTATGTTTATTAAGTCGAGGAATTCGACTTGCATAGCAAAATAAAAGAACAAGATATCAGACTGTGTTCAAGATGTTATGACAGGTTTTTTTGCACAGTTACTATAATAATGGATATAGTATTATTTACATTATTGTCAAAAAGTATTAATGTCATTTCACAGAATATAAAGATATATCTAGGGTAACAAATAAATACTATTATAGTCTTTATTACAGCTGCTGTGCGGCCTGGGGTATGAGGAGGACCCCATTAGGGAGGCTGTTAAGGAGAACTAAACTACCAATTTTTTAGTATAAAAAGGCAGACATCAGACCTCAGAATAGTGGTAGTGATAGATTATTCTATGTGCAGTGAGAAGCATTTATTTATGTCTTAGCAGTATAGATGTGTTTGATTTGCAACAGACTAAAAATGAGAAGACATCTGAACCTAGGTTCAGATGAATGCCCAACTTTAGCCTGTTGGGTAGGAACTAAAATTCATATATGGAAGCAGAATATTTACTGCTTCTATACAGTATATGACAGCTTCCCACTTTCACTGGTTCCTAAGGAAGCTGTGGGTGATAGCAACCATGGCATCCCTAGCAACCACTGACATCTCTGGGAATGCCAGTTCCGTTTAAGCAATGGGGTGAGGACAACAGTGGAATCACTCCCAAATGTGTGGTCATGCCCATTCCAAAAAATGACATTGACCAAATATCGCCATGGCCATATTTGGTCAATGATATCACCACTATCACAGCTCCTTTCCTTATATAGCTGATGTCAGATGGCATTTGGCTAGTGGCACCATTGGGATTGGTCATTTCCACCAGGTTTTCTGGGTTTTTTTTTGGTGATTCAGAAGGTGAGGGACATCTTGTAAGTTGGCACGTGGTGGGCCATGGCCATATTTAGTTAACGATGTCACCACTATCACAGACCCTTTCCTTATATAGCTGATGACAGATGGCATTTGGCTAGTGGTACCATTGGGACTGGTCATTTGCACCAGATTGTCTGTTTTGTTTTTTTTTTTTTCTGGTGAGGGGCATCTGGTGAGTCAGCATGTGGTTGGCAATATATTTACAACAAGAGACATTTTTTTTTTTGGGGGGGGTGGGGTTATTTTTTAATAAAGGACTTGTCAATTGTTTGGGTGTCTTTATTTCTAAGTTACAATTGTTTTTGTGAATTCCATATTTGAATAAGCCCCTTACCCGCAAACCCTGCAACCACTGACCAGGGTTATAGGGATGGGGCCCTTGTCTTCATCAACGCAGGGACAAGGAGCTTTGAGGAAGCAGTACTTTAGTTCATCCTTTCAGCATCCATTCATTACTGTACTACACTAGACTCTTTAGGCTTTAGAAAGAACATCAAATTTCAATTCAGTTTTTATATTATGTTAGCTGCTATAACAATACATAACCCT